GGGCCGCTTTTGCACTCATACCTTCCCTCTCCAATCAATCAGTCCCACCTCCCCACCACCATACTGTGAATTGAACCCAGGGGCACTCTACCACTGAGCTACATCCTGCATTTCTTTTTATTTTGAGACCTAGAACTTGCGATCCTCCTGTCTCAGCCTCCAGAGTTGCTAGGATTCTAGGTCTGCCCCACTGCATCCAGCCAGTCCCCATCACCCGAAATTTAGCTCCAGACCTTTGCCCTGAAGCTCAGCCCAACCCACTGTTGGAACAATACCTACAGGCTGGAGGCCTGCCCTTGAGCCCTGAAACCTTACCAACCCTGGCCTCTGAGGGGATTAGATCAGCCAGGCCTCCTTTCCCAACTTGACAGCAGGGCTGGGGCCTGCAGTCCAGGTTTTAACAAGCTCTCTGGAGGCTGTCCCTACCTCCTCCAGCGCCCAACTCAGAGATCTGCATGTGGGATGACAACTACCCATCAGGTGCTGCCATGCCCTCCAAGTTGCCAGGAGATTCAAGTCTCACTCCTCAGATCTTCTAACAGCCTGTGAACGTGGCTCTGTCAAAATACTTTAACTTCCAAAGAGCTGAGTACCCATTTCTGTATGTCAGACACTAGCCATATACTCACATGGACAGTCTTATTCCATTCTCACTAAGGGCAACCCCATACATGAGTGCAGTATCTTCTCCCATTACAGATGAAGAAATAAGGCTCAGAGACACCCCGCGTAATAGCGAGAAGCTGAGGGGTGTCCAAGCCCCATCTAGATCAATAGTGGAGAAGCTCAAAGACGCTTACAGTGTACACCCAACTCTTAGGTCCTCCTAGTCCTCCCATCCCAGGCCCTGGGTCCGATATATGACCTCCCCAACCCCTACCCAGAAGCCTGCTCCAGAAGTACCTGGCAGATCAATGGCCACAGCCCGGTAGCCAGCCTGGGCCAGCCTGTGCAGTGTACCAAGGTTCTTCCAGGTTTCAGAGGAGAAGCGGATACCATGCAATAGCAGCACAGAGAAGCCAGTGGCCTGCCCACTTCCAGGCCGTGCCTCCCGGAAAAAGAGGCTCTGGCCCTGCACTTGGATGGTGCCCTCTCGCTGCTCCACACTTGCCATTTCTGCTGCTGCTGTTCTGAAGTGCCTGTGGTTCAAAGCCAGACTGATGAGGAGCCACAGAACATCCTGCCCAGGTGGAGCAGGGAGGCTCTCAGAGAGGGGTCTGGAGTGGGTAGCAAGGAGGCCTCCAGGGCTTTAGAAACAAGCTTCAAGGTCATTTTTGCCTCTGCCACTCACTTAATTGTGTGACCTTGGGCCTCAGCTTCCTCATCTGCAATATGGGGATAATAAAGCCTACCTCAAGAATTATGAATTTTATTAAGAGTTTAAGAAAATAAATAACAGCGAAGCTCTTCTACAGGTTATTGTTCTCATCGCTATTATCCTTTTGTACAAACGGGGACAATGCACTAGGATTAGCTTATAGGTGGTTAAGATTACATGAGGCCACGCATGTAAAATGCTCGCATCAGGCACCATGTTTAGCACGCAGTAAGTGCTCAATAGACAAAAAGTAATTTGCTTATCAACCTTATCTTCCCCAACGCTCTGTGAGTTGGAACTGCAGGCCGTAGGAGCCAAAGTTTACAATAAAATGCCCATTTTCTAAAGGCCGAAACTCAAGTGCCCAGCGGGCAACAGCTTTGGAGTTCCAGCCTGCAAGGGGCGCAGGGTGCTCAGTGTGCTAACGGCTGGGGCCCAACGCGTTGGCCAGGGGCGCGGTCAAATCCTCCCCGCTACGGTTCACTCGGTCTACTCCCGGGACCAAGGTTCGGCTCCCTAGGTCTGGAGGACCCATGCGGAAGCAGGGCAGCACAGAAGGAGGGGATCTGGGAAGCCGGATGGGAAGACTTGGGGTAGGTGCGAGTGGGTTCTGACCAGAGAGAGAAAGAGTGCGTCGGGCTTGCAAGTTGGGTACCTGGGGAGCGGCGTAGTCTCGCGCACACCGGAGGCAAGCGAGTGCCCGCAGCGGATGGGGAGGGAAACAGGGAAGAGGTTGACTCCAGGGCGGGGGCGGGAACAGGGGCTGGGACCCGGGCTGGGATCCAGGCGGGGACCCGGCCATGCTGCAGGGTGCCCTCTTGTGGCCACAAGCTGCCTCCGGGTCCGTCCACGCCACTAAACCCTCTTGTTCTTATAGAGACCTTAGTTTCCCCAAGCCACTCGGTCCCACATGCCCCAGGCGCGAGACTGGAAGCGGACATGAGGGCTTCGGAGCCCTCATGACATGCCCACTGTAGACTCGGTACACCTTGAGGATGCGGGCTCTTTCGGAATTGCATCCCTGTGCTGCTCCCTTCTTGCCCTCTATCACCCTCATCCCCAGTCAGGTCTGCCCAAGCAGAGTTGTACGTCTGGCATAGAGTTAATGTTCTCAGGTTTGAGTGAAAGGCTCCGTCAAAGTTCACCCCGGTGGGGGGCTGGGGATGTGGCTCAAGCGGTAGCGCGCTCGCCTGGCATGCGTGCGGCCAGCTTCGATCCTCAGCACCACATACAAACAAAGATGTTGTGCCCGCCGAAAACTAAAAAATAAATATTAAAAAAAAAAAAAAAGTTCAGCCCGGTGACATTGGTCGTTTTCCCAACTTCTCCAAGCCTGTTTCCTCACATGTAGAATGGGTGGAATGTTGCCCACATCTGCAGGGTACCAGTAAGAATCGAGTTCTGTGCACTGTGCACAGCTTCTTTGTGCCGAGTTTGGTTACCACGCGGAGCCCTGAGCCTGGGACAGACCAGACTATGGTCACACATCGCCAAGCAGGATAGGTTGCATGTGAGACAGGAACTCAAGCCTGACTCGTGTGTGTGTGTGTGTGTGTGTGTGTGTGCGCGCCTGTAACAGCTGCATAACAACAAATAGTATCTGCATTTACACAAGGAGGCCTCTGTGCCAGGCTGAGACTTGCAGACTTGACCGGTCTTAAATCCTTCCCATTGTATCCACAGAGATAACTGAGCTAAAGTGAAGATGTTCTGGGGACAAGAATCTGGTGGCTCTCCGCCATTTCTTAAGCCCAAAACTATTCGGAAATTCTGGACGGGGAGGGTCCGGCCGGGTCTTGGTGCTTTGAGGCGCCACCCCCAGTCCCCTCCTCTGGAACTATTTGCTACGTAGGAGCCCCGCCTGCCAGCTGCAGAGTGCGCAGGCGCATTTCGGTGGCCTCACTTACCACTGCCTAGTCACGGAGCAGTCGACCTAGTGACGGAGGCAACGCCATGGCCGCGGCGCTGTTTGGCTCTTGGTTCCGCCGGGGCGGAGCCCGCCCCGCAGTAGCTTGCCGGGTCGTCGGGGTCGGCCCGGTGAGTGTCCCCTGGGAGGAAGGAGGAGGGCCGGCCCCGGGGGCGGGCCACCTTTCCCAGGCGTCCTGGGGCAGAGTCCTACTGAGGGGGCACGCGCTGGGTCTGGGAGTGTACTTGTGATCGCGTGTTGTATGTGTGAGCACGCAAGTGTCTGCCTGAAGGCTGTATCCTTGGGAATCCGGGAATATGTATGTGTCCGCTTGTGTATCTGTCGGTCTGTTTCTTCGTACTGATGTGGGGGCGGTGTATTCGTGGGTCTATGTATGTCTACTTTGGGGTATTTCTCTATGTGTGATTATCTGTGGGAGTGTGATTATCTGTCTGTGCTTGTGTGTTTCTTATGTGAGTGTGTAGTTTTAGGATTATGTGTGACTGTGTGCTTGGGTATTCTGAGTGTCTGCATGTGGGTTGTTTGGGTTTTTTAATTTATTATTATTATTATTATTATTTTTCCATATTGGGATTTGAACCCAGGACCTTGCACATATCATGCAATCGCTCTACTATTGAGCCACATCCCCAATCCCTTTTTATTTTTACTTTGAGATGAGGTCTTGCTAATTTGCCCAGGCCGGCCTCGAATTTGTAATTCTTGTACCTCAGCCTCCCAAGTGCCTAGGATTACAGGCATGTGTCAGAGCGCCCTGTACAAGTCGTTCTGAAAGAGTGTGCCAGTTCACTGTCTGCCTTCCTGATGCCTGACTGTGTGCGTGATTTTGAGAGTGTTATTGCAAGGACCAATGGGTGTGTGAGGACTCTCCATGTACGTACAGGGAATAGTTCGTACAAAAGAAAAGGGTACAGGAGCAAGACTGTGTGCACGTATGGACATGTGAGTGTCACTGTCGACACGTGTTTCGGCGGCCTAAAGGGCAGCTTGTTCTCCACCCCACCCCATCCCAACCCCATCTCTAGAGCCACCGGTTGCAGCTGCAACAGTCTAGAAGGGCTGCACCCTGGATTGCCAAAGCAACCACCAAAGCCCTGCCCCTCCCTCCTGCTAGAGGCCCTGCAACCTTTCAGCAGACCCAACAGCCAGGAGGGGTCCAACCCCAAAGCTCAGTATAGTAGGAATCCAGTCTAACGCAATGTTGTAGGTGCTAGGTTGTGGGTATGCGTCCTAGGCTATTCGTGACTAGGAAGAAGAGCCCGCTGTTTCTCCACCTGGCTCCTGGTTTTCCATCAGCACGTGCAGCTGCCATTGCCTACCCACCACCTAACTCCGGAACCCGGAGGGTAGGCTTGGGAGCCGGGGCAGGGGGAGGATATCCCTCCCGAATGTCCCTCAGAGGTGTGTGAGAGACCCAAGACTGGACTCCAGCTAGTTCTAGCTGGCACCTAGCTGGTGCTCAATAAAGATTATTTACTAGATGGGGTTGGGGTTGTGGCTCAGCGGTAGAGCATTCGCCTAGCACATGCGAGGCCCTGGGTTCGATCCTCAGCACCACAATAAATAAATAAATAAATAAACAAATAAATAAATATATATATTGTGTCCAACTAAAAAATAAATATGAAAAGAAAAGAAAGATTATTTACTAGAATCCTAGGAGAAGGCAGGCCGTGCTCATCCTAGGCCCAAGAAATGAGGACAGGGACAGAGCCCACCTTCCCTTAAGTCCCCTGTATTATTGAAATCTCACAGGAGACTTGAGAGAGCAACCAGAATTATCCCACTTTACTGACATACTGAAGACTCAGGGTCAGGAATTGGCAGAGACCTGTTTTAAAGCCAGCTCTACCTGACCTGCTTGGGCTCTGTCCCTGGGCTGGCAAAGGCCCTGTACTGGAGGAGTCCATGAAGCAGGTCATTTGGTGTGAAGCTGTATGTGTGTCTGTATATGGGGGTGGGGACATTCATCTCTCCAACCTCCAGCTGCCTTTTCCATTTCTAGGTGAACCACGCTCCTCCCTGGCCCCACACCGGCTCAGGCCTCTGCATTTCCTCCATCACCAACATTGTCTGTGAGCTTCCCCAAAACAGCTGTGGTCAGCCATTAAATATTCCCATCAACCATAAAACACATTCTGATTTTAGCAGTATTATATACAGAGTAATAAAATGAACTATTTCCGAGCCTGCCCTCAGAAGGTGGTCTCTTCAAATAGTCTTCCTCCTTGGATAGCCCTCACCACTCTATCCAGTAGAGGGGCTTCAGTTCATCCATTGCCTCCCATTTCCATGCTTTCCTTCTTCCAAACCAAGTGTGACCTGATGGTTAGGAGTCCAGCCCTGGGTTCAAATCCCAGTTCCCGCTTTGGGCTACTTGAGCAATAGAATTCACCTCTCCAAACCTGAATTTCCTCATTTGTAAGAGACCTGTAATTATATCTTCTTTAGTGTTCTTTATGGACCTCCTTGTTGTGGGGGGCTGAGCAGGAGCCTGCTGTCATAAGAGCTTGAAGTAAGTTTAATTATCAGGGATGATGGTCACTGAGCATGCTGTGTGCTAGAGGGACAACTCGGATGCACCTCCTCACACTTTGAGCCTTTGTCCTGGCATATGGAATGGCTGGGTATTGAACCACCAGTCTTTTGTCCAGAGCAAAGGAAGGGCCAGAGTTGCAGATCTTTCTCTGTAGGGACTTCAGGTTGGGGTTTGGGGATGGGTCCAGACACCTTGTAGGGGCTCAGCCTTGCTTCTTTTCCTTCTCCCTCCTCCTCCAGACTGCGGTACAGACCTGCGTGAGCCGGTACAAGGCTGCTCTGCTGGGCCTAGGTGTATTATTGTTCATGCTGCTATTGTATGTGGGACTGCCTGGCCCCCCTGAGCAAACTTCCTGGCTCTTGGGAGACCCCAATGTCACAGTCTTGGTTGGTCTTACCCCAGGAAACTCCCCCATCTTTTACCGTGAGGTGCTTCCACTCCATCGGACACACAGGTGGGTGTAGACCTGAAGGACCCCAGCCTGACTCAGGGTGCTCGGGACCTACAAAAGCAATAGGAAAAGCTTAGGGAGAAAGAACAGTAGGCTGCCCCAGGTTTCAGGATATATTTCCCTGTGTGCTTGCAGGGTGGAGGTGGTGCTGCTTCATGGAAAGGCCTTTAACTCCCACACATGGGAGCAGCTGGGCACACTGCAGCTATTATCACGGAGGGGCTACCGGGCTGTGGCCCTTGACCTTCCAGGTGAGCACCCCAACCCTTAGATCTAGGGAGGCAGGACATAGCAATTACAAAGGGGCAGCTTCCCAGAAGGGGAAATTGGAAGGGTAGGGAAGCCTTAAGGTATGGCTTGGGGGCCTCTGGACCTCAGTGTCTGGATAAGCAGTGGCAGGTCACAACACAATATGTCACCATGAAAATGTGTATTTATATTGTTTTCCTTGAAAATTACAGTGTGTTTGTATGTCAGAGCAAATAGAAATATGACTCACAAACTCTGTGGCTTTTTGGTTTTTTTAACTACACGAATGATTTGTGCTATCAATTCTTCATCACCACCACCCCTGTGACACTTCCTCTTTCCTTGGTGCTGGGGATTCAACCCCAGGCCTCGTGCATGCATGCTAAGCACACGCTCTTCCATTGAGCTACACCCTTAACTGATACTGTCATTTTTGTCATTAAAAAAAAAAAAAAAAAGTGAAGCCTTCAGAGATTGTGCCACATTTCACTCCCTCTCTAAGCAGTTGGCAGGGGTGCTAGACCCCTTTCCTCAGCATTTCCACACATAGAAACACAGATGGTATGCAGGATAGTGTGGTGAGGATTGAAAAAATGATTAGTGTCTTGCTGGCTCTGCAAGTCTGTCTGAAATTTGGTTTTCTCCCCCTACACTATGACTCTTGGATCATGCTGGTCTCTGCAAATCTCCTTTGATCTGCCATTCCTCTACTGGTGGATATGTAGATTGATTTAGAGTTTTCAATGTCAGTTGAAATCCTCAAGAGTAAAACATTTTTGGACATGCTTCTTTAAGCATGGAGGCAATACTTTTTTAGGGTAGTTATTGAGAACAATTGATGGATCAAAGGATACACATTTTAAAATTCTGAAAAATACTACCTCACCCTCCAACGAGCTGCACAGATTTATTCTCCCATTAGTCATATATGAAAGTGCCTGTTTTTCTACATCTTTCCCCAAAACTGGGTATTGTCAGGTATTTTTTGTTTCAGGTACTAAGGATTGAGACCAGGGTACTCTTATCACTGAGCTAGATCCTTGGCTAGAACTCACTAAGCTAGATCTCACTAAATTGCTGAGGCTTGTCTCAAACTTGTGATACACCTGCCACAGCCTCCCAAGTGGCTGGGATTACAGGCATGTGCCACTGTGCCTGGCTAAAAGATATTTTTCTAGCAGGCCTATTACATTACAAAAAAAAATTGCTTCTAGGAAGTTTGGGGTAGCATGTACCATGTGCCACTGGTCCCCATGTCTTCTACACTGTGGTGGGAAAGAAGTCCAGATTCACCTTCAACTAGTACTTGCTGCCATTCCCAGGTTTCGGGAACTCAGCACCTTCAAAGGAAGTAAGCACCGAGGCAGGGAGGGCAGAGCTGCTGGAGCGAGTTTTGCGGGACCTGGAGGTGCAGAATGCTGTGTTAGTGAGCCCCTCACTGAGTGGCCACTACGCCCTGCCCTTCCTGATGCAAAGCCACCACCAGCTACGTGGATTCGTGCCCATCGCTCCCACCTCCACCCAGAACTACAACCAGGAACAATTCTGGGCCGTGAAGGTACTAGAATAAGGATCTTCAAAGGTCACTGTGGCACCCTCTCCCTAATTTGTGTCATGGAGGGGGCGGTCAGGACTCAAGTCTTACTTGGTGGGACATGTCTCTAACCGTGATTTTTAATGGAGGAGGTGGGGATTCAGAAAGTCTTCCTAAGATAATAACTTGGGGATCAGATCCTCACCCGTCTCCAGGATCACAGCCTCTTGCCTTGCCCTGCAGACCCCAACCCTGATCCTGTATGGGGAGCTGGACCACAAACTGGCTCAAGAGTCACTGCAGCAGCTCCGCCACCTGCCCAATCACTCTGTGGTGAAGATACACAACGCAGGCCATGCCTGCTACCTCCACAAGCCACAAGACTTCCATCTCGTCCTCCTTGACTTTCTTGACCATTTGTCTTGAACTAACCCACTTCTGAAGCCCTAGGCCTGTCCTGTGCTAGGAGGGTCTGGACCACCACTCTCTCCCCACCAGGGATGCAGGCCCAGCCAGGCCCAAGGGGCAGGCCCAGCCAGAATGTCTCATTTCACTTCACAGGCACAATAAAGAAAAGCATATTTGTTTTGCCTAGAGAGTAACAGGCTCTCTTTCCTGGTGTGCCTCCAGAGAGGTAGGGGTGGGAGGCAAGTTTGGGACTGTTTAGGGGCAGGTGCTGGGGTTGGAGGGGATGCTCCAGAACCCTGTGGATCCAAGAGTGAGCCACTTCCTCACTGTATGACTTCTGTATGCCTTAGTTTAGTCATCTGTTAAACAGACATGATGGTAACATCTAGCTCGGAGGGAAGTTGTAGGATTGAATGTGTCTGGTAAGTAAAGCATTTGGTCATGTGGAGATGGGGAAAGCAGGGGTGCATGTTAATGCTGCTGTATGACCACTGAGATTGGTGGGAAATCCAGGGTCTGGGTAGCTGAGCTGAGTGTGGAATGTAGAGTGTGTAGACACAAGTATGGGGAAACTGGTTTACGAATTAAAACAGCATTGTTATTGAATCACAAGCCTGTTTGCTCCTTTGTTATGTGTGGGTGAACATCCAGAGACTTCAACCCCAGGAAAGATGGGATGGGCCGTTCCCTTACCCTTCCAGACTGCTTTCTTGGTCCAGGGGTTGAAGTTTTCCACTCCTGTGGGCTGCCAAGCTGACTCAGCCACTGGAGCAGAGAGCAGAACTGGTTGAGAGTGCAAAGAGCAGCCAGTTACACAAGTGTGCACATGCAGGTGGCCAAGGGTACCTCTATGTCTGTTTCTCCGTCTCTGGTGGGTGAAGAAAAGCCAGTTTGGCACAGGGGCAGCCAAGAGTGTGCTGTTTCCCCCACGTCTCACTGTCATATGGCGTCAGGATTGCATCTTTTTCAGTGACATCCCATCACACTCACTAACTCACATGCATATTGTCACACATATGGTCATGTCCGCTGATACACAGGTTTGCCCACACCGTGGCACATTCACACAGTCACACATATTCCCAACAATGCCATGTATCCTTCATTCCTGGTATCTGGACAGTTGTTCTGTGTCTGACCAGGGTCAGAATCCTGCGGACACGTGGACCAGCTTCCTGGAGGTCACAGTGTGGAACAGGTAGATATTAACCAAAACCTTACTGAACGTGGAGATGAGGCACGGGAGAATCTTCTTGATCCGCTGAAGCACGAAAAGGAGAGCGGTTGAAGTCTTGCGGGAGGGGGTGGGGAAACAGGCCAGGCCTTTACAGCCCTGCGCCCTGAGAGCTACATCTTACTCAACACCGCAGCGGCCACTTTTAGCGTCAGGGACCGCCCTCTTCTCCTAGGGCCTCCTCTGGAGGCTGGAGGGGAAGGAGGTGTCCTCTAGGGGCGGAACCTTCTCGGGGTGGAGCCAGCCCCCAGCGTGCCGCCTGTGGGGCGGAGCTGGCGGCGGCCAGAGCTGCCCAGGGGGCGGGATCCTGGATTCAAGCCTCCAATAACTCAGTGGAGGTCCTGCTCGGTGGAGGACCCGGACCTAGGCGCCTGCACTGCCGCAGGGAGTGGGAAGGTTGTTACTTGCAATCTGCGATATCCGCCCCGCGACCCGGCTTTGGGCCAAGTGGTGAGCGGATTAGGGCAGTTTTGATCTCGCGACCTTGCTGGACCCGGAGTCCCCGCCACATTTCTCGCAGCGGGAGCTGAAAGGCGAACGCGGGCCCAAGACCAGGAAAAAGAAAGGTGGGGGGGTCTTGGCTAGGGCTAGAGGTGTTTGGGGTTCTTGAGGAGGGCGTGGGGGAACAAAGTCCATATTCAAACCTGGCTCAGCAACTCTCTGGCTGTCCCCAAACCTCTGTGAGCCTCAGCTTTCTTCTCTATAAAGTGAGCATTGAGAGACACAGAATTCCTGGAGCTCTTTGGGGAATTAAATTAAGGATATGCGTTGAAAGCGGGCAGAATAGGGGCTCCAAAATAAGGTGTCCTCTCCTTTAGAACTTCTGGAGAGCCTCGGTGGGGAAGCCCTTTGTTCAGGTAGGGTCTGTTCTCCATTCACTCTGCCCTCAGTTTACCACGATCGGAGCCATGGCCAACAAGGATCCTGAGTCTGAGCACCCATCTGTGACTCTGTTCCGCCAGTACCTGCGCATCCGCACTGTCCACCCTAATCCCGACTATGGTGAGAACACGGTGGTCCCAGGGCCTGCGCTCTAACCACCTCCAACTCTGTCATTCCCTGTGTCAATAGATGAGATGTCACTTCTACAGTTGACCGCCCTTTTCCCAAAAGCTGTGTTGCTCCAAATGTTACTCCTAGCAACTGGTTAGGGAACAACTTCCCAGAGCAGGAGTGGTTGGGGAGAGGCCCTTCAAGGAGCTTACTGGGGCTGGATAAAGGCCCTCAGGAATCAAGCTTGGTAGCTGGGATTATGTACATGGGTTCAAATTTTTGCTCAATAGTTTATCAGCTGAGAGATGTTGGGTGAATCTTTTCAAGTCTCTGGGCCATAATTTCCTTATCTTTTAAAGAAGAATAACACCTGCGGCTGGACATGGTGGCGCACACCTGTAATCCTAGCTCCTCAGGAAGCTTAGGCAGGAGGATTGCAAGTTCCAGGCCACCCTGTCTAAAAATAAAATTTTAAAAGGGCTAGGGATGTGGCTCAGTGGTAGAGCATTTGCCTAGCATGAGCAAGGATCCTGAGTTCAATCCCCAGTATCACATACACACAAAGAAAAACACCTGCTTCCAATCCTGGACTTTACCCTTGTCTTCCACAAAGTTGCACACTGGCCAAAAATATCTTTTTCCTTGGGGATAGAAATGCAGGTGTCTCTGAGGGTTATGAAATTGTGATGGGGAGCAGAAGCCCATCTCTGGATCTTTTTTTTTTTTTTTTTGGCTGCTTGGGCTGGTGGGAGCCATGGGTAGGCAGAAACAGCCCCAAGATTCTCTTTACCCCCAGGCACTGCTGTGGCCTTTTTTGAGGAGAGAGCCCACCAGCTAGGCCTGAGCTGTCAGAAAGTGGAGGTAAGCCTGGAACCCTGGGTGGAGAAGGGCAATGGGCCTGGGGCACCTCCTCACCCTGACTAGACCAACTTCTTTTTTGACTGTCTCTAGGTGACACCTGGCTATGTGATCCCTGTGCTGACTTGGCCAGGCACCAACCCTACACTCTCCTCCATCTTGCTCAACTCCCATATGGATGTGGTACCTGTCTTCAAGGTATGTGTGGAGGGGTACATGCATACCTAGAGGACTCACAGGATGTAGACCTCAGAAATTCATGCTGCTGGTCCCAGCACTAACTCTTGACATCTGTATGCCATTTCTCCACTCAGTAATCTTTGTCCAGCATTGATTCTCTGCCAGATGGTGATCAGCTACCTTCTTCAGTACTCTTTTGTACTCCTTACCACCCTTTCTGTCACCTCTTTTTCCCATCCCTATCCCTAGGAACATTGGAGTCATGACCCCTTTGAGGCCTTCAAGGATTCTGAGGGCTACATCTATGCCAGGGGCACCCAAGACATGAAGAGTGTCAGCATCCAGTGAGTATCTTTTATTCCCAGTCCCCTGCAGTGTCCTCACTGGACCAATAGCCTGACGCAGGAATGTGATTGGAGAACTTCAGTGTTAAGAGTCATCTTGACCCCTAGCTTGAGCAAAATTATTTCCATGACCATTGAACAGATGGGAAGACTGAGGTTCAGAGATGGGCAGGGACTTTCTGGAGCCCTTGCTAGATCGTGGCAGGGTAGGACTGCACCTTGCTAGCCCAGCTTGGCCCTGCCTGCTGGGCCATTCTAATAAGCATCTGTAGCTCCTGCAGCACTTGGCTTATGCCCCTTCAGGTACCTGGAAGCTGTGAGAAGGCTGAAGGTTGAGGGCCACCGTTTTCCTAGAACCATCCACATGACCTTTGTACCTGGTAGGAGTGACTTATGAAGGAGGGCAGCTTTGGGGTTGAAGGGGAGTGTCAGGGAGCAGCCCCCTTATCACAAGTCCCTGTGCTTTTACAGATGAGGAAATCGGAGGTCACAAAGGCATGGAGCTGCTCGTACAGCGGCCTGAGTTCCAGGCCCTGAGGGTGGGATTTGCCCTGGATGAGGGTGAGTAGGTTGCTAAGCCTCTGATCAGCCAGGATGGGGGTATGGAGGCTGCTAGTGGGGGCTGAGTCACTCCACTCTCTGAACCTCCTTTTCCCCTTCAGGCCTGGCTAACCCCACTGATGCCTTCACTGTCTTTTATAGTGAGCGGAGCCTCTGGTGTGAGTATGGGTGAGCTTGGAGAGAGGGTTTGCTATATATGTGGGTGATCAAAAAGAGCATCAGCCTACAAAGGACCACAAATCCCGTTAGAGTCCTGAATAGGCCTTGAAGCCAGGGCCTTTGCCTCTCACCTCTTCCTGCCTGGTCTCCTCTTTCCTGAGCTTCTGAGGGCAAGTTCTGACTATAGGCACAACAGCTGTATGCTGTGATTCCAAGCAGGACAGGGTCCTGACAGAGGTGCTTGGAATAAGGGGGATACCTGGGATGACTGCATCTCCAGCCCTCTCATGTGCTGGAAATATTCTCTTCCCTCTACATCTCCCCAGGGGTGCGGTTTACCAGCTCTGGGAGGCCAGGCCATGGGTCACGCTTCATTGAGGACACAGCAGCAGAGAAGCTGGTACATGGTCCTTGGAGAATCTGGGTGTTTGGGAGGTTCCATCCTGGGGCCACTCTCACATCTCACTTCACGCTCTTCTAGCACAAAGTTGTGAGCTCCATCTTGGCATTCCGGGAGAAGGAAAGGCAGAGGTAAGGCGGTCTGGGAATGAGGTGGGGTGGAGGTGGCCCTTGGGAGGCAGTACAAGAGGAGAGGGAGGCTGAGCCACTTTCTTTTATCTGTTTCCCCCCCAACTAAAGGCTGAAGTCAAACCCTCATCTGAAGGAGGGGGCCGTAACCTGTGTGAACCTGACTAAGCTAGAGGGTGGTGTGGCTTATAATGTGGTACCCGCCACTATGAGCGCCAGCTTTGACTTCCGCTTGGCACCGGATGTGGACCTGCAGGTGCTGACTCTGCCTGGGTTAGAGGGAGAGAACCTGCATCTTTAATCATATCTTTAATAGTGCCCTAGAGGCTCAGAGAAAGCCTAAGAAATCAGCTTGTTTCCCTTCTCTCAGGCTTTCGAGAAGCAGCTGCAGAGCTGGTGCCAGGCAGCTGGCGAGGGTGTCACCTTCGAGTTTGCTCAGGTATCACCTTGGGACCTATCCATGATGGGGTAGTCTGGGGGCTGGGGACGACTGGGCTTACCAAATGTGTGAGTGTAGGAGTGTATGCTTGGTGTGTCTACATATATTCGGGCATTTCTTTAACCACGAGAGACATTTTATCATTCAATGAGCGTTGGATGTAAAGGCCATTGTGGGTGCTGGGAAATACAGTGGGGAGAAAAATTAGGCTTATTGCTTGCCTTCATGGTCCTTAGAACATGAAGGGGAGAGATAGACATAAGTCAAATATTTACTTAATATTGCTTTGATATGAGTGTGTACACATTTGATCCAGGAAAAGGGGGGAACTCAGAACATTTAATCTGGCATTGGACCAGTGGTCTGGGGGAGCCGTCCTAAGGAAGGGGCACTTGGGCTAGGCTCTGAAGGATAGACAGAAGGTAAGTGGATAGACGTTGTGGAAAGGTCCCAGACCACCTAGGGCATTTGAGGTCCTGGAAGAGGGCCTGTGGCTGCACTGGCCACCTGGATGTCTCTGGTAGATGGAAAGAGTTGTGCTCTGTGCCAGACATGGCTTACTCTTAGAAACAGGGCAAGATGCCCAGGCCTCTGTCCTGATCCTGCTTTCCTTCCCCTCCCTTAGAGGTGGATGAAGCCCCAAGTGACACCTATTGATGATACAAACCCCTGGTGGGCGGCTTTTAACCGGGTCTGCAAGGACATGTAAGCATACCCACCAGCCCTCACCCAACCCAGCAACTGCTCCTCTCCTTCTTGCTACCCCTCCCCTGCTTTTCTCCCTGCCTTCCTTTACCCCTTGAATTCTTCCCTTGCCATCTCCTCTGTCCCCCTTTATTCATCAGGCTCTTCCCTCTGCAGGAACCTCACTCTAGAGCCGGAGATTTTCCCTGCTGCCACTGATAGCCGCTATCTCCGTGCGGTGAGCTGATTGCACTGGGGGATGGGCAGGGGGCTGGCCTGGATGCTGGCTTCCCCCCTAACAGCTCCTTCTTGCTCCTTCAGGTGGGGATCCCAGCTCTGGGCTTCTCACCCATGAACCGCACACCTGTGCTGCTGCATGACCATGATGAGCGGTTGCATGAGACCGTGTTCCTTCGTGGGATTGACATATACACACGCTTGCTATCTGTTCTGGCCAGTGTGCCTGCCCTGCCCAATGAAAACTGAGCCCCATACCCTCCAGGCTGCCCCAGAGCTTTCATCCCAACCAGTGCCAAGGACCTCCTCTTCTCCTGACCAGTAATGTAGCCTGTGTGGACAAAGGCAGCCCCTGAACTACTAACACTGCACACATTCATGGAGAAGGGGACATTATTACTCTGGGGACATACTGTTACCAACCCAATTTCACAGATGAGGAAACAGCTTGGCTCTGTGCCCTCATGACATAACACACTGTCCCAGCCACATCTGCCTAGCAACAAGGGGCCATAGTTCAATGGCTACCATATTCTGACTGTGAGGTCAGGGATACTGTTCCCATCAAAAGGGCATAAGTGTAATGCTAGTAACTCAGGAGGCTAGCTAGTAAGGTAGGAGGATCTCAAGTTTGAGGCCAGGCTTAGCAAGACCATTTCAAAACAAAACAAACAAACAAACAAAGCCTGGGGATGTAGTTATGACATAGAACACCCCTGGTTCAATCTCCAATATCTCCAATCTTGGAACATACCAAGATTAGCATCTCAGGGAACTATACCTGGCTTTCTGGGGATATACTCAGGATCCTGGGACAAGAATGGGACCAGATGGGCCACTGCCAGATGTGGGTAGGCAGAGACAGCTTGCAAGGTATGAGCACCCTTTTTTTTTTGTTGTTGTTCTGTTTTGGTCAAAACCCACTGACTCTTATGTTGGGAGTAGGGCCCTGATAGATCCAGCAGAATGGCCAGTGATCATGAATCAGTGTGTGCAGAGGGGCCGAGGAGTTGAGTTTCAATCTGTCAGCCCTTGTCAGGATCCCATTTGATATAACTAAAGCCATCTTGATTATAACCATTTGCCTGCCTGGTAACCCTGCTGTATACTCCAAAACCTATAGGATATTATCAAGCCATTAAGGTAGTCAGCTAGCTTAACTGACATTTGACATATTAGTTTTTGTTGCTTTTTCTCCTCCTCCTTTTTGAGAAAACCCAGGCAGATCCCAGTTGGCTGTGGGTGTGGGCTACCTTTATTTAGTTTGACATATAAACCCCTTCCTCCCTGTTGCTGCCCAAGACCTGTTTCTTTCCTTAACCCTAATAAATTGCATTTTATGCAAACCTGGTTGCCTTTTTCTTTGGTCTCTTGGCACCTTCTACCTTTGGTGGCTTGTTCCCATATATTTATACTATACTAGGGTTTTTCTTAAAGTCATGGTAGTGCCCCAGGCTTAGCTATGGCCCTAAAAGCTGAGCTTACTCCTTTCCCTGATTGACCTGTCCTGCCTCCATGCCATGGGACAGAGAAGAGGGATGACTTTAAGTACATAGCTGTGGTCAGAAAGGAAGTCTGCAGATTACCAACAGTAATGACCCCTGCTCAGTTGCAAAGACCAAGGATTCTGCTTCACTGAACCCCCAGGGTAGCCCTTGGGACATAGGTCACACTAGAGATGCACAATCTGAAGCTCCACTTCAACAGGGTGGCCTAACTGGAGCTTGGAGATGGAGTCAACTCATTGATGTCTAGCTGAAGCCCCTGACATGGAGTTTCTTGAGGTTGGGGGTTTGGCCTTTCTCTCACCCTCAATTGGAGCTGGTTATTTTCACTACACCACCTATCTGGGGCATTTGGACAGAGGTCTTGCTTTGCAAGTCATCAGCCACCTTCAGCACACAAAACCTGCTCCTACTTCCTTGCGTTTTACTCCCTGGCACGGGGCAGGTGGCTACCCACAGAGCTAGCATACATTCTTGGTTGGATATTCTAAATAAACTGGGTTTAAGTGCTACCACCTGGCATTGAAAAAAAACCTACTTCCTGAGGTTGACATGGACCACCCGGGTTCAAATGCTACTTCCAGCCTTTCTTAGCCACCTGTGTAACCCTACTTCAGGGGTAGTGAGACAAATCACCCATAGGCAGCCAGGAAAAGTAGAGAAGACTGGGGGATCAAGCTTCCCATGACAGCTGGTCCCAGCTGTGAGAACAGCCCCTAGACACAAAACAATTGCAAAAGGTACTTTCTCTTGTGCCAACAGGCCCTCACCTCCACCCTTGTGCTAATGAAGGATTATAAATCACTTTTCTCCAAATTTTTCTGAAGATGACAAAATATGTTGATTGGCCTTCTTTCTGAATCTTATATCCCACCAGTTACCTATAGGAACAGATCTAAGCCCATAAAACACCAACAAATACCCTTCACTTGGGATCCCTCCCTCAGGAGCTCTATTACTCTGTGTGTGTGTGTGTGTGTGTGTGTGATTATTTTACAAAATTTTGGGGGGCTGGGGATGTGGCTCAAGCGGTAACGCACTCGCCTAGCATGTGCTGGGTGCTGGGTTCGATCCTCAGCACCACATAAAAATAAAATAAAGATGTTGTGTCCACCAAAAACTAAAAAATAAATATTAAAAAATTCTCTCTTGGGCTGGGGATGTGGCTCAAGTGGTAGCACGCTCGCTTAGCATGCGTGAGGCACTGGGTTAGATTCTCAGCACCACATTGAAACAAAATAAAGATACTGTGTTCACCTAAAACTAAAAAATAAATATTAAAAAAAATTCTCGTTTAAAAAAAAGTTTATTAAATTTACAAATAATCCCAACACAACACTTAATTCTAGCTATAGGTGACAAAAGATGTTACAGCAGGGATCCTGATGTCTAAATAGAAATGGAATCATCCTCACCATCATTTCAAGCACAAGAATCGGCTTACTTTTTGCCAGATTTCTTAATTCCACTTGTGGCCAGGGGGCCCTTCCCCGTACTTTTAGCTTCTAAAGTTTCTACTGCTCCTCTTTTTGTTTGTCTGAAAGCCTTATCTCATCCATCTCCTTGGCCTGCTTCTTAGGTTGTTTCAGGGGCTTCTTCTTGCCACCTTCCCAGCAGGACATGGCGCCTATTACTCTTAATTAAACCCTGTTACTTCACTTTCATCCTTACAATCATGAATTTCGTTCCTTAAATTCACAAGACAAAGAACCCACCTGACATCCATGCTCCATATAACAGAGAGGACATGTCCCAGGCTGCACCCATTACTCTTGACAATAAAATGGGGTACTGTTGTACCCCATCTGAGTCTCCAAAGTGACCAAGGTTGGGCTATGCTTTTTTTAATGTTTATATGTGGTTCAGGTTGAATCAAGGGGCACTCCACCACTAAGATATCTTACTAAATTGCTGAGGCTGGCTTCAACTGTTTTTTTTTTTTTTGAGAGAGAATTTTAATATTTATTTTTTTTTTAGTTTTTGGCAGACCCAGCATCTTTGTTTTGTAAGTGGTGCTGAGGATGGAACCCGGGCCGCACACTTGGCATGCCAGGCAAGCACGCTACTGCTTGAGCCACATCCCCAGCCCTACAACTGGTTTTGAAGATGAAATGTACACAATCACAGCCTCTGGGACAGGAGTCCCCTCCTTTGCTAGCAAAGCAAAACTTCTTTGTCCTTCTCCCCCCTCCCCAGCAAAAAAAAAAAAAAAAAAAAGTATAAGTGCTTTACTTGATACTATTTTTTTTCTTTTTTTATACCAGGGATTGATCCTAGAGTCATGAACCACCAAGTCAGCCTTTGAAAAACAGTGTGTTGCTAAATCTTTAGGGCACTAAGTTGCTGAGTTTAGTTCAGAACTTGAGATCCTTGTAGTTTCAGGATTCTAAGTGGCTGAGATTACAGTTATGCACTACTACACATGACCCAAATGGTGCCTTCTATAGGAAGCCTCTGGAGATGTTCATTACAACTACTTATTCCCCTAACTTCTCTGAGGATTAAGACCCTGCAGGCAGATAATCAGTCACAATGGCACACACCTGTGATCCCAGCAGTTCAGGAGGCTTAGGCAGTCTCAGCACCTTAGTGAGACACTAAATAACTCAGCAAGACCCTGCCTTAAATAAAATATTAAAAAGGGCTGGTACCAAAAAACTAAACAAAACAAAAAACCAGCTCAAGTAGAGAATTCTTCAGTGGGGCCCGTTCCAGACTCCTTCCTTTCTTTATCAGCTTACCCAACCAGGCAAAGAGGTGTCCTACCTACGCTGAAGCTCTGGCCATTTCCTGACTGACCCACATCCCACCATCCACAGAAGGCTCAAGTCTGTTCCCATACCAAAGAAGGCAGCAACCCCACCCAACCCCAGGACAACAGACACAGGCTAAAAGATCCTGCCTCTGGATTTATTTGTACAAATAGCACAGGAGGACACCAGTTCCCATAGACAGAGGCTCAGGGGTCACACCAGTCCTTCTGTCCTCATACCCAGAGGATTTTATTATGGAGCCTTTGCAGGGACCTGGGCACCCTTGGGGGCCTGGGCACCCTTAGGAGTCGGAGCTGGAGCCGGAGCCGATGCTGGAGCTGCAGCCTGGGTCTTGGCTTGGGCTTTGGCCTTTGGCCGGTTGAGCCTGCGTTCCCTGGCCATGTGGGCACGAGCACGCTTCGCGTGCTTGGGATGGGCTAGCAAGGCGAGGCGATCAAGCTTGCGGCTGGCACCCTTTGGCATCTTGGGCTTAACTTCCTTAGGCTTTGCAAGGGCCTTGATAGCCTCGGCACGTGCATTCATGGCCTTGGCGTTGTTTGCCTGCATTTTTTTCAGGCCCTTCTTATTGTGCTTCTTGGCAAAACGCATATTTCTCAGGAACTTGGGGTCTACCTGGAAAGTAGGAAAGGTATAAGTGGCAGCATATAAAGTCCCCAAGTCATGCCCTGGTGTCCTCTTCTATAAGGGTGCCAGGCACTCTAAAGATAGCATCAAATCAACCTTAAATATGGAACTAGCCAATCCTTTAACCACCACCCACCCTCAAGGAGCCAATATTCCACCTGGCTAATGGTGTGCGGTCACATTTTCAAGGCCACACCTCCAGAACCTAGTAGAGCTAACAGTCAAATGTGAATGCTGATAGAAGGAACAAAGGAAAGCTGACCTCTCTGCCAAAGTTGTAAGGCATGAATTTCCTACAGGAGTTCAGCTAAACCACCCCCACACCTTGACAACCCCTCAGGGATACCCCCTTCCCCTTTAAAGGAAGCTATCAATTAAATAACAAGCCTAGTCCAACAGATTCACACCAAAGATCAGAGAGCAAGAGTACTGGGGAGGAACAGAGTAGGGAGAGGCTCAGCTC